AAAAAAAAAAAAACTTTGCAAAGTTGGTGGCACTGGTAGCTCTGTGGGTAGGGTGCCAGCTACATACACTCAGGCTGGCGGATTTGAACCAGCCCAGGCCAGCTAAACAACTGCAACAAAAAAACAGACGGGTGTTGTAGCAGGTGCCTGTAGTCCCAGCTACTTGGGAGGCTGAGGCAAGACAATTGCTTAAGCCCAAGAGTTTGAGGTTGCTGTGAGCTGTGATGCCACAGCACTCTACTGAAGGTGACTCAGTGAGACTGTCTCCAAAACAAAAAAAAAACTTTGCAAAGTCAAGATACATTTTATAGTCAGAATTTTTGCAAAAAGTCATCCTCTCCAATTGTAGTATATGCATACATATGCACATATATAATGTACCATCAAATAGTTGCTGACCTTAAAAGAGGAGGGCCAGGTGCGGTGGCTAACACCTGTAATCCCAGCACTCAATGAGAGGTTGAGGCAGGTGGATCGCCTGAGCTCAGGAGTTCCAGACCAGCTGAGCAAGAGCCAGACCCTGTCTCTATAAAATAGCTGGGCGTTATGGTGGGTGCCTGTAGTCCCAGCTACTTAGGAGGCCGAAACAAGAGGATTGCCTAAACCTGAAAGTTTGAAGTTGCTGTGAGCTATGATGCCATAGCGCTCTACCTAGGGTGACAAAGTGAGACTGTCTCAAAAAAAAAAAAGGAAGGCCTGTACTGATAAAGGACAAAAAAAAAAAAGGGTACTTACGTGACAAGTAAGATAGAACCCACACTGAGATGGGAGATTTCTGGGGAACAGGCCAGGCTGCTATCCATCTCAAAGAGGTAGAAGCAATCTTGGACTTTGCCTCGCTCCTCAGACACAGGGTTAAAATTGTCCTGATGATGAGAAGACAGAATACAACACTTATGTGGCCAAGTATTTTTCTTTTGATTCTTGTCTAACAGAAGAAAAACTAAAAAAAATTGACTCCTCTTGGTTCAGTAGCCTGTTTTCCATGAAGATAAGTGTCTGACACAAGGAAAAACTAAGCTCCTAGTTGTCTCATGTCCATCCCAATGTATCATCCCCTCTGGATAGTTTCTCCCACCGCAGGTCAGTCCTTTCAATCTCCTCTCTGGGCTCAGACCCCAGGGTGCCTCACCGCTAGGGTGTGTCGATTGCAGGAGATCATCACCACTGCACGACGCTGCTCCTTGCCACAGTGGTTGTCATATTCATCACCCCCTTTATAGATCAGCATGATCCAATTACCTGAAGAGGGACAAGGAAGATGGAGCTATGGGGGAAAAGCAGAGGTAGACTTTGGTAGTATGGCAAAGGGCAACTAAGGAATTCAGTAAAGTTGGTTATAACAACTCATCAGTATGAGCTCTACATACCAGAAATGTCAAACTTACTTCTTTACAAAGCTTTGTGTTCCCTTGTTTAAGACCACTCAGAATCAGATACCCATGTAAGAATAATCTTAACTTTACACATTAAAAGTAGGCAAATGATGGTACAAAACCAATTATGATCCATACCCTAATACCAATTTATACCTTTTTGACTGCTTGCTAAAAGTAAAAGATGATGTTCCAATTGTTGGGAAGGAGAGGGAAGTCTAAGATTTAAAAACAGCTAGAGATAAATCCAAAGTTTATTTTTAAGACTGAAATGTAATTCTCTTCTTTGGTATTTACCGTGTTCAAAATTCTTTTGCAAAATACCTGCTTCAATAAGCATGTGATGTTAATAAGGTAAGGATTTTGCTTCTAATTGAGCATAAAGTCAAAAGGTAAAATGATTTTTTTTCTTTTTTTTTTTT